CTCTGCTTTTTGGAAAATTTTTTGGTGTTCCAGGATACATCCTAGGAGTCGTTCTAGATTTTTTATAGTTCTTGCAATCTTGGTGCTGTAGCTGATTCTCAATAAGTTAATCTAGATTTTGTTGCTATTCAGATGGCGGAGAATATAAGGCTTGTAAATGATGTGAAGTCTTTAGTTATTCTGCCTGGACATGAACCTGGTCTCTTGCTATCTGATAATTATGCAGCAAAAGAATTTTCTTCGAAAACTGGGGTTCCTGTATTTCTTGAAAATTCTGCCTCTGGGGACTTATCTGGCATATCGAATGTGATCAACTCTACTCCATCCATTACTGACAGTTGGAACTATTTGGAAAACTCTGCTCAGACTACTCAGTTTGTTGGTGATATGTCTGGTTCTCTTGCAAGACAAATCCAGGATAATTTGCTGTCAAATGGTACAGCATTTAATGCCTCTAGCTCAGGCCAAAGTCATATTAAGCTCTATGATGACCTCGAAGCGAAATTTGCTATGAGAATGAAGTCGAACTCTACTTTGACAAACGAATTAGTGGCAAAAGCTGAACTTCTCTCCTTGCATCCAGAGACGTTTTTGAATCAACAGGCTTCTTTGCACTTCCCAAAATCTGATCAACTATCTTCTAGCAGTTCATCTACAGTTGACAGTGGCAGCTTAAGGTGGCTGGAAAACGGAATATTGTCAAATGCTGGTATTCAAGGTCATTTTGGTACCCCCAATGTGTCATCTGGCATGTTGACGTCTGTGCCGAGAACAAATGCAGATATGATTTCTAGTTCTCATGAAGATCCTGGTGACCATTTGACGACCAATCACATGCTTTTGTATAACTCTGGTAGCAGACATTTTTTTACGGATGACAGAAGTGCAATGCGTGAGTTGAATGTCTGCAATGAAAGAATGGCAAACAAAGTAATTCAAGCTCATGGTACACCCCTGTCCAAACATGATGAGCACAAGAATTCGGGTGAGCTTCCACATGGTTTTTTTCTAGCCGACAGAAATCATGAATTTGAAGGTGAGAGTCAATCATTTAAAAATACTGAATATGAAGATGCATGTACCGGACCTCAATCGGGAGATGATTTGTTTGATATGTTGGGCACTGAATTTAAGAACAAACTATTTAACAGTTGCTGGAGTAGTAGTAAGAATAAAGCATCAGACTCAAACATGGGTAACCTGTATAGCAATAATTCTCCATCTGTAAAAAGTCAGGACACTGCTTCCGAAGTACATTCTCTTAACCTTGGAAACTCGAATAGTGGTATTTTGTTAGTGAATGGAAGTGAGCATCTTATAGATGCTGTGGTCTCTGGAGTTCGCTCTTCTGCTAAGCAGCCCTCAGATAATTATGTTTCTTGCAGGACAACATTGACAAATATGAGTAGCTACTGCGGACCTAATGTTGAACTCCCCTATGGTCAGGTTCCGGCTCTCGATCAGATTAAGGAAGAGTTATTTGATGTTCCGGAATATCTGGCAAAAGCAGAAGCAATGAGTTCTTGTTCATTTCTATCTGGATCTTCTAAGGATGATTCGGGCAACTATTCTGAGAGTAGTTCCATTTATGGATCACAAATAAGTTCATCGATTGTAAAGGGTAATGACATCAAAGAGAATAACTGTGCATTAACAGGATATTCTAAGAAGCCTGATGAAATTAGCAAAGCAAATCGCAAGAGGCTTAAACCTGGAGAAAATCCAAGGCCCAGGCCAAAGGATCGCCAGATGATCCAAGATCGTGTAAAGGAATTAAGAGAAATTGTGCCAAACGGGGCAAAGGTGATGTCTCTGGTCTTAGACTCAAACTGCTTCCTTGTCTCTATTGGCATATGATTCTTATATCCTGTAGTAATACTATCGATTTGGTCAACAGTGTAGCATTGATGCTCTTCTGGAATGTACTATCAAGCACATGCTTTTCTTGCAGAGTGTCACAAAGCATGCAGATAAGCTAAAACAAACAGGAGAGTCAAAGGTGAGAGATACCGACTTAGCCTATGTTTGGCTCATGTTTATAAACTGTTATAAGCTGTTCAAGCCATGTCCTATCCACACATTTTCTGAGATCACAAGTACTATCTACTTATCCCCCATTCATTTCTATCTATTTATAATTTAAATTGTTTATAAACCCTTTCCAAACGTAGTGTTGGATGAGTAGAATTATATTATGCATTGAGCTACTTGGACTTAAGAGATGATATGTTTTGTCTGAGATATAGAGCTTGCCTGGCCTTATAAAACCGGGGTGGGTGGGAAGTGAAGTTATATTTATATTTTTTCCAAAAATGTTTGAGCTTTTATGGAAGTTTATTTTTTTTTTATTTTTACCCTTTTTGTCCCCTAAAGCTTATGCCAAAAACATGCTTCATTATCATCTGCATTTAGTAGACAATATAATGTGAATTTCATGTAAACCATGTTAATTTGGAAGTTTATAATGCAAAAAAGTTGGCAAGAAGAGTAATAGATGCCGAAGTGTACATTTGAAAGTTGAGAAACAAATTTGAGATTGTTTTATCTTCTTTTCTTAAGCTTCAGATTAATGGCAAGGGTGGTGGTTTGCTCTCAAAAGATAACTATGAAGGAGGAGCAACGTGGGCTTATGAAGTTGGTTCACAGTCTATGGTATGCCCTATCATAGTAGAAGATCTAAATCAACCCCATCAAATGCTTGTGGAGGTAATCACTGGCTTCTTTTACATCTCATGTCCACGTGTAGAACCTAATCATACCATATTGCCTTAATATTCATACTATATAAAGGAGCAAAAGACCAGCCAAAATAAATGTATAATTCTTCTCCATTTTAGTGAAAACAATGGCTAGTGGAAGTAGATCTTTCATTGAGGATAAATCACACAAATCTACGTAGACTTTGATTTTTATTTTTTTCTTTTTTATATTGATTATCAGTGTTCTCAAAAGTAGGGATTATAGTTTAGTCCATACAGTTGGCCCTTGTTACTTATGACTACTTTACAAGCTTATAGAAAATTGTTATTTTCCTTACGTGGCAGATGTTTTGTTGTTCTTTTCCTCACGGTTTTCCTTTTCTTTCAGATGCTTTGTGAAGAGAGAGGTTTGTTTCTAGAAATTGCTGACATAATTAGGGGGCTGGGGTTGACCATTTTGAAGGGGGTTATGGAAACTGGCAACGACAAGATCTGGGCACACTTTGCCGTGGAGGTAATAGTTATGAAGAGCATTAACTAAATCACTGTGTTCAATCTCATTTACAATTTCTCCAAAGATATATGTTGACTTCCAAGAAAGTCATATGATTGCCCTCAAAACTTGATTTTATGCTGCTACTATTTTTTAATGTTGAGGTTTTTCAGGGAAACACTAGCTAACAGTGTGAGCGAAATTACTCATTGATCATTAAACATTTGTTTCAGGCATTGAACTTTGGTTACACTGGTCACTGAACTTAATCAAATGTCAGTTACAATCTGTCTTTCCTGTTAGTAAAATCAACGTAGATGGACGGATTGACTAAATTGCAACAAAGTTTAAGTTCAGTGACTAACTTAAAAGGAATTTTTAGTGACTGATTCAAATTTTCCTGAAAGTTTAGTGACTATCAACCTATCAGTATATTTAACCTGATTTCTGGCGAACTGGCTGCTGCTTCATTCAATGTTTGCATTTTTTGAGTAGGCTGACAGGGATGTGTCAAGGATGGAAATTTTTGTTTCACTCGTTCAC